TTTCTTTCTTTCTTTCTTCTTTCTTTCTTTCTTCCTTTCTCTTTCTTTCTTTCTTTCTTTCTCTCTTTCTTTCTTTCTCTCTCTCTCTTTCTCTCTCTCTTTCTTTCTTTCTTGCAAGCTGTGATTAGATGCAATCTTTGTGGGTCATTTAAATGGAAGGGTTCAGTGATGTGTATTGCTTGCCAAGCCAAAATGTTGCCTTTTGGGGAAAAGGGGGAGAGGTGCTCATGGAGTGCAGGGAAAGGGGTTTTGGGGCAGAGATTTTGGTTTAAAATAGCCAGACTCCTTCTGGCTGCTGAAAAGAGGAAAAAGTTTTAAATTGTCAAATTTAAAGCTGTGTTCAGTTATGATTTGCCACTTCTGAATATTATTTTGGATTTTCCCTTTCCATGCTTATTTTGTTCAGAATCCTAATGAATAGAGGTTGCTGGACTCAGGGTAAAAGCATGATGAACTGGAGATGGGACATACAAGGTACTTTTGTAATTGCCATAGATTACATCTATAATCAGAGTAAATGTCATCAACAAATAATCAAAATATTTTTTACATTTGCTCTTCTAAAATCAGAGCCTATTTTAAATATAAGAGAAAGTAGATATGATAATGTAAACTACAGTTATGTTAAGTTGATATTAAAGTCAAAATCTAACACAGATTTGCACTGTTGGGTGTGTGTTCTGATTCAGTGGGTTTTTCCACGGATGTTGATTTTGGGAGCCAGGCTTCAATGTTTAATTCTATTGTAATGTGGTTATTTAGCCTGAATGGTTTTATAAGGTGAAAAGGCAAAAAAATTAATTCCAAAGAAAACTAATGGTTTACTATGATTGCGTTAAACATTTCAGAAGCCCACCTGTGGGAAATACAAAGTATTAATACTGTGTGTTATTTTGCTTTTGTATTTTTGTCTCACCGACAAAACTGGCAGAAAAAAAATGCTTTCGTATATTTTTCCTGCTGGGTGGTCAGAAGGAAAGGCCATAAAGCTAAAGGTCTCCCATTGAGACGCTGCTCTGCAAAGAGCCGACCTCACGTGCCGCTGCCAGAGAAGAAAGCACCTGTTCATCTCGGCTCACTGTGGGTCTGAGCTCAGCACTGGCAGGCGAGGGGCCGCACGCCTCCCCCACAGCCACCGAGAGGGCATCCCTGCAGGGAAATCATATCCAACGTGCCTGTGCCCACACCAGACTTAAGACAGCCTCTAAAATGTCCATGAAGCCATTGTCCAGTAGAGCTGTTAGTTTTAAAACCAGTGAGTATTACCTTTGGTTAAAAGGATGCATGTGTATAGGGGTGTGTGTGTCTGTGTGTGTATGTGTTTGTGTTTTTGGACTTGTGTGTGATATAGGGAAAGGGTATAGAGAATGAAGAAAGGGTTCCATTTAGGTATTTGCAAATATTTGATGGCATCATGAAAAGACAAAAACATCCTATAAAATATATCATGTTTTTCTATGATTTTGTGTGTACCTATAATAAAATTATTAAGTACAAATTGTTCTGTATTTCTTTTGCAAGCATAAATTCTAAAATTTTGTATTTTGTACAGAATAATTCATATCACATAATAAGGGAAAAAATACATTTTTTTTCCTGATTAGGTGCTTAGACTAAATACATCTGTTTTTTTTTTTTTGGGAAACTGAGGCCAAGATGGAAATTGTAGTCTGCTTGGGTGAATGTAATTCTTTTCTCTAATTCTTGACATAGAGAAAAACTTGCCCAGGGAAATTTTTCCATTATGGCATTTTAGCATTAATCTGAAAATCATGTGGAATCACTGTGGATAACTCAGGGAAATAAGCGAAACTCTTCTTCCATTAAAAGAATTTCCTGCCCTTGAGGCTATGCATTTCCACAACATGGGAAATGGGTTTTTATTTCCAATTTCTACAAAGAGTACGCATGCAACTGGTATCCATACAAAGCCCCACGTGTTGGGAAGCCACTGAGGGAGGAGCAGAGCTGCAGCGAGGGCAAATGCACAAATAACAAATCAAGTTTAAAGACCGTGGTCAAAGGCAAGGAGCAAATGATACTGATCTTATATGTGAGGGGCTTGGACATCACACCAGCTGCCGCGGAGTTTGATTAATGAGGCATTAAGGAGATGGAGTGACACTTACAGCTAGTTACTTATGGTGCTAATTTCAAAACACTTTGCAATAGACAAAGAGACTCTGCTCATAATGCAAAGTAATTTGTGGTGTGTTCCTGGTGAATGCATTTAGCGAAGCAAATATAGTTATGCGGAATTTAAATTAAGGTTGACACTAATGTAAACAGAGCCCAAGAACCACTGTCCCCAATAATTTGATGAGGACACAGGTTTTAATCAAGCCTCTTCCACTAAAATAGCAATTTAAATCCCTATCGTTTAAACTGGATAAAACGCTTAAGCCGTAAAGGTTGGGGGGGAAAATAGAAATTTACTTGAAAATAAAAATGAAATATCTCTGGGGGAAATCTTGACTATGTTTTGACCCAACTGGGATGCACATGTTGATTTAAATGCCAGGTTGATTTTGAGGCCAAATTCCAGGTATTTGAAGGCATTTGCTATGTATCTTTTCTGTTGTTGTAAAGTTATGGTTGGACACATTCTGGTTGTATTGATCTCAGAGTAAAAATGCTCCTCGTAATAAGAAAGTGGAGATTCTGATTCCGAGGCCCCAGAATCATTTACGTATTAAAGGAAGAAATCTACCTGCTTCCCCCGGCAACCAATTTCTATTTGAACTAAAAAATTCAAAACTGGGGGAATATAAGGAAGGAGCGTGGGTCTGGTTAG